AAGTAAAGATGTAATTTATTTTAGTTTTAATAATATAATATTTTTTTATAAAAATAATAATCATGTATTCTGTTAGAACTCAACTATTATTTTAATTATGTTTTATATTATATTCAAAATGATATGTTTATCATTTTTTTGATTATGTTTATCAGCTAAGCGAAGAGTTTTAAAATTTTAGATATTTTATAAAATAAAAATAAGCGTTTCATCTTGTAGTGTTTATCTAATATTTATTATGTTTATCTATTAATTATATCAAACATTTGTAATCTTGAATTTTTTATTAATGTGTATTAACAAATGGTATTTGATGTATACTAGAAGGGTACATACGGTTTTATATGTTTTGAGAAAACGATAATGTTTTTATTCTTGAATAAAATATAAATTTGAAGAAAATTATCATATTTTGATAAAAATATATCGATATTAGTATCAAATTAACTATTTAAAAATTCTTGTTTTTTTGGGTAATTTTTTTAATTCAATTTTTTTTAATGATTTTATTTAGATTTAATAACGAAGTAGTTTATTTTTAATTTAATAATATATTTTTTTATAAATATAATAATTAAGTATTTTATTATAACATAATGATTATTCTAATCATATTTTAGATTTTTATATTTTAAATGAATTATTTATCATGTATTTGACTATATTTATCTACAGTTAGTTACACGAATTCAAACATGGAACTTTAATAAGTTGTACTTATGAATAATTACTTGTAATCTTGAATTGTAAGTAATATAAATTAAACAATATTACTTCAGGTATAAAATGGTTTTTAAATGTTTTTATCAAATGATTTAAAATACAGTATAGATATGTAAAAGATAGTTTTTAATCTATACTATCTTATAAAGCAAATTTATAAAGTCTTAAAATCTTAAAATACTAAATGACCAAGATACCCTTTATATCATATCTTTCACCCCTTCCTCTCCTCACATACACTCACCCTCTCACAACTGATTTTTTTAAAATTATAATTTTAAATTTACACTTTATACCCTTATAATTAGTTAATTAATTTACTTTACATCCTTTACTTTTAAATGTTTCATTTTAAACCTTTATCAAATTAATATACATAATCGTATATCAATTAAAACATGTTTAAAAAATA